CAAATTGCTGAAAATATCATCATCCTACTAATTATAAGGCTTAGGCAAAAAATTGCATCCGCGCGATGATGCTCTAGAATTAATACGCTCAAAGTGCACACATTTTTGCATCAAATAAAAAAGATTTGCGGGGGCATTGCCCCCCCACTTCACACAAGTATTAACATTAGAATTCTTGTAAATCAGTAATATTCACTCACGGTACACACGCACGCACACAGCACACCTGCACGCGACCGCACACAGCCAGCCACATATACACCAACACACGCCACAAACATGTTACATAAATTAACGTACATGCGCCAAGAGCAAGACTCATTGGGGATACAACCATTCGTATATAGGAGGGTAGGGGCGACTCGCGCCCCCCCCCCCCGTTCCAATTTCAGACGCCGCTGTCTCTCGAACACATGGCGGTGACATTTCTCGTTTTTCAGACATACATTATGTATTGCAGCGGACAAAATTTTACGGAAGGGAGATTTTCCGCTTATTGAAGGTTAGGTGGGCTAATTGTCCTGGTGGGTAATTGTCCTGGTGGGTAATCTGTCGCTGGTGGGTAATGGTCTCGGGGTAATTGTCCTGGTGGGTTAATTGTCGCTGGTGGTAATGTGTCCTGGTGGGTAATCGTCCGGATGGCGTAATTCTGTCCCGGTGGTAATTGTCGCCGAGGGCGGTAATGTCGCGTGGTAAATTGCCGGGGGTAATTGTCCTGAGGGTGTAATGTCGCGGGGTATTGTCCGGTGGGTAATTGTCTGGTGGGTTAATTTGTCCTGTGGGTAATTGTCCGGTGGGTATATGTCCTGCGTGGTAATTGTTGCCGGGGGGAATTGTCCGGGTGGCGTAATGTCGCGCTGGGTAATTTCACGGCGGTAATTGTTCCTGGTGACGTAATTGTCTTTGTAATGTCGAGGGGGTAATCGTCCGGTGCGGTAATGCGTCCTGGTGGTAACTGCCTGCGTGGGTAAGTTGGTATGCCTGGTGGTAATTGTGCGTACGTCGGGGGTATTGTTCCCTGGTGGGATGCCGTGGTAATTGTCTGGTGGGTAATCGTCCGGGTGGGTAATTGTCCTGGTGGGTAATTAATTGTCCTGGTGGGTAATCGTCCGGGTGGGTAATTGTCCTGGTGGGGTAATTGTCCTGGTGGGTAATCGTCCGGGTGGGTAATCGTCCGGGTGGGTAATCGTCCTGGTGGGTAATTGTCCGGGGGGTAATTGTCCGGTGGGTAATTGTCCAGGGGGTATAGTTGTCCTAGAATCGATTGTAGGAGCAATTGCCAACACGGATAGGTTTTTCGATTAAATCAAATCAACGTGTAAATCAAATAAATGATATAAATTATTAAATAGTATTAGTAAGACAATATCCAACATTATACCAATGAACACAATGCTCACAAGTATTCCACTGCTGTGGAGCGTGGTGTGCCACCTATCCAGACAGAGCCAGACATAGCCACACGTGCACAATAGTCTCGCTTCTTACTAAGTGAACTATGTTCCTATGACGTGAAACTGTCATAAGAGCCTGGGCGGGCTAACCAGAGACAGATAACACAAAAGTAAATAGTAAATACGCGTAGTGCTATAAAATCATTGTCAGAAACACCATAACTTTTAATGAATATCAGTATCAGTATCATTAATCACAGATCACTATGCTGCCAGCCCAATGTTTGTCCCAAACCTTTAATGCTGAGCTTGCTGCTATTTGCATTATGTCGTATTTCTCGTAGTGCAAATCACATGTCAGCGCTAAGTAATTTATAGGGGGTGAATAAAACCCGGACCCGGACCCGGAAAACCTGCATAAAACCCGGACCCGGACTCTGACCTCGTGTCCGGGTCCGGGTTTTATCCATCGGTCCGGGTCCGGAGCCCCCTCCTTAATAATAATAATAATAATAATAAGGACTGATATATATAATGGGTCCGGACTGGTACCAAATGGATCCGGACTGATACAGAATGGGTCTGGACTGATACAGAATGAGTCCGGACTGATTTAGAATGGGTCCCTGCTGATACAGCATGGGTCCGGACTGATGCAGAATGAGTCTGGACTGGTAAATAATGAGTCCGGACTGGTGTAGAATGGGTCCGGACTGATACAGAATGGGTCCGGACCAGGGCTCGAATTAACCGACGGCACCGACGGCAATTGCCGTCGGTGCCCCTATCAATTGCCGTACTGCCCCTGAAAATCCAACTCGACCGACGGCAGTCACCTGCCTTGCCCTTTTGTGTAATTGCCGTCGGTGCCCTTTAATCTGCTGCCCTAGTTTCGTTTTTAGTCGAGTCAACATAACACGTGCGCGTGCGTGCTGTAGTTGCAATGATGAGCTTAAAACCGATAGTCGCAGGAGGGAATAATAACAGCATCGGATAATTATTCACTCCTGATAGCGGGCATATAAAATTTATTGTTACTGTACTTCCATTAGCAGAGGGGGGTACAAGGGTCGGTGTTACGGTGTAAGCTTACATGGGGTCATATTGTTTTGTACATTAAAAGCAAGACGATGTTGATGTACTAATTTGTTATGAGTTTTCCTTTATTTTACAAAAGTGCCTTGGTGCCCTTCTCAAATTTTGAGAGTTGCCTTGGTGCCCTTCCATTTTAGAGAAAATTCAAGGCGATTTCTCACGTGCCCTAAAAAAATTGCCTTGCCCTTCTCGTCGCTTAATTCGAGCCCTGGTCCGGACTGATACAGCATGGGTCCGGACTGATACAGAATGGGTCCGGACTGGTACATAATGAGTCCGGACAGGTATAGAATGGGTCCGGACTGATACAGAATGGGTCCGGACTGGTACATAATGAGTCCGGACTGATGTAGAATGTGTCCGGAGACTCCGGACTGGTACATAATAAGTCCGGATTGGTGTAGAATGGGTCCGGACTGGTACAGCATGGATCCGGACTGCTACAGAATGAGCCCGGACTGGTGTAGAATGAGTCTGGACTGATACAGCATGGGTCCGGACTGATACAGAATGGATCCGGACTGGCACATAATGAGTCTGGACTGATAGAGAATGAGTCCGGTCTGATAGAGAATGAGTCCGGTC